CTGCACCTTGCAACTGAAGTACCTACTTTTAGTGAACTGTTAAGAATTTTGAATACGCCACTTGGACCTTCCTACAAAATGGAAAAACCCATTTTCTGTGGAATAAGTTTAGAAGGTAATTATCTAGTCAATTACTGTCGTAGATTCCTGGAATTAAAGAATTAAATGTTTGATTGTTGAAACCCTTACTTCGTGGAATGCACTCATTTCAGATAAAATAAAACGTTTTATTTTATCTAAAGAATTAAACTTTATTTTGCAAATAGGTAGGTACTTATTAAACTTTTATTGGTTATATATAACCAATAAAATAAACATCTTACATTTCTTGCAAATTCATTAGTACCTGTTAACCTCCATCACTCCGACACTGGCAACCTTATTTAGGGATTAGTAACCCTCACAACTATTGTATTCTATTCTGCTCCAACCTTTATACCTGGTAGTCATACTCAATTTAAAATTGTTTTCCTATATACTTCTGTAAACTTGTTGAAAAATATCTGTTTTTCATTGAGTCACCCGTATCAACAGTTTAGGGATTTGCATACATAATTTATTGTTTTATTACTCTCTCATACATAAAAATACACTATAGGCAGTTACGTAAAATTTAATTTCACTGGTGATGTAATAAAATCTCAGTCATGAAAAATGTTTTAAAGTTAGGGGTTAGATAAAGATATTTTTTGCTACTCTATTAGACATACCTTATTCAATTTTCGTTTGTTCAACTGATACTCTGTAAATTGTACTTTCGGAAACACCTGTCGCAGCTGCCACACACTCTTTTATGCGATGATGAGATATTGTGACACCTTCTTTAGCTTCCTTTTTCATAATGGCTAACACATTAGCAATTATTTCACGACTAATTAAGCTAATAGAAGAGATAAACTAGGAGCTACCAATTGTCTTCTAAAAGGAATAAGCATTGGAAGAATACTTCGATACTTTTAGCATATCTGAATGTTGTGTAAATTTTCTGATAATGGAAAAACACTCTCAAATATAGCGGAAAAATACCTTTTGAAGAAGTGAGATTTCTGCAATAACAAAATTACAAGCAGTTCTATACTTTCTTAATCTTCCACAAGTAATTTTTAATTTCTGAATATTTGGAAACGAATTTTAATTATTTCTCGGTACCAGCGAAACGAAATTTTTGCTGCAACTAATGAACTCGACTAATTCAACTGGTTCGAACTTGTTTAGCCGGTTAATCAGTGACCACGGACGCGTGGTGGGAGGTGCTACTAGGAGTGCCCGAAAAATATAGAATAAAATGGATCAACTCGACTAAATTACTTACTTGTCCACTCGACTAAATTTTTCTGGTTCAGACATGTTTAGTTACTAAATTACTCGCTAATCGACTAAAATACTAGCATAGTCCGAACTAGGCTTTACTTTCACGAGATACCTGTTCGACTGTGCCTCTGTCCATCTTAACAGTGTGAGTACATTCTCGTTACTGTATGGCTACGCGTCTTCATTATGTAACATTTTGAAATGGCGGCGTCCATTGAAAATCTCGCCAAATGTAAAGTATGCAGTGTGATTCGGTTTTTGAATGCGCAAAATGTTCGCCCTATTAACATTTATAGGCAAATAAAAACCGTTTATGGTGAGATCAACCTAAACAATGTAGCGATCATCGCAATATCAGGCTAATGAGCCATGTACTGAAAATTTTCTTAAGAGTACTGCACTCGAGAATTTACAACAAAATAGAAGTACAACTAAGCGAAACATATTTTGGTTTCAGAAACAACGTTGGAACCAGAGAAGCATTAATCAGTTTGCAGGCCCTGGTTCAAAGATATATAGAACCACCAGTGTATATGTGTTTTATCGACTTCTTAAAGGCCTTTGAGCGGGTCACCCACGACAAACTGATGGGTGTCTTGAAACAGGTAGGAATTGATGACCAAGACCTCCGTATTATCAAAAATTTGTATTGGCATCAATGTGCCAACATACGAACTAATCAGAATACCACAGAAGCAGTGGAAATACGACGTGGAGTGAGGCGGGGGTACATTTTATTGCCTCTACATTTTAATATCTACTCCGAATTTATTTTCAAAGAAGCTTGAGACGAAGATGCAGGGATTGCATTCAATGAAAAAGAGTTGCAACTACTTATAAACAGAGTGACCGAAACATGTGTTGAATATGGGCTAAAGCTTAACACTTCTAAGGCGCTGGTTTCTCTGAACAGACGTCAGCCGCGGCCGTCGACGTTTGGACGTTGCGGCTAACGTCCACACGTCGTCGGTAACGGTTTAATGGTTTCTCTAGAATTAGTCAGTTTGCTGGTAGATATCAATAGGTATAGACGTCGATTATTAGGTTAGATTAAAAATACAAAGAACTTTATAAATAATTAAAATGATAATGAAAAAAATGTTAATGAAACTGTTACTTGAAGAAGAGGAAGATATTGAACTAATAATTAGAAATTTAAAGAAAAGAAGACATACTCACAATATATTTAAAAATAAAGAGAGTGAAAGAACATTTAGTAACTTAATTTATACGCATCTTAAATGTGATAATGAAAAAATCATACAATATTTTCGACTATCACAAAAACAGCCACTGTTCGTTATGAATTTTCAGTTCCATCTCTGTTACTATTTTACAAGCTTGTAACCTAGTTTTAGCAATAATATGTGGTGTAAAGTTTGAAACAGTATCAGCCATGGACTGGAAAAATTTATTAATAGCAGATTTTTCTGGTACAGTTTCTGTCTGCGTTAAAAAATTTTCAAACAACTGATCATTCACTTGTTGCCTCTTTTCCAAAATACTGATCAAAATAAAAGATTACTGGATCAAAATAAAAGATTACTACACAAAATAAAAATTTGTGGAAGTTTGAAAACAAAGTTTTCAGTGTTTTATTGTTACATAAAATGAATTTCCATCAAGTAACGGTCGAATCCATCAATTATTTAAAAGATTACTTGTGTTCGCCATCTGGAAGGGTCACTTGGCAGTGTTGTATAATTGTTATAATTAAAAATTATGTTTAAATTAATTATTACATTATTTGTATGTATTTTATCTTGTTCTTTTTTCATTTTGCTTTCGTCCGTCATAAGGTCCACCCGCTGCAATGCTTCGAAACCATATGAACGGGCACACGCAGCGGGTAAACGCCAACCGTCGATGCTAGCCGTGACCGCTGGCGTGTCTGAGAAACCAAGTGCATACACTTTTAGGCATGGCATAGCATTCAAACGTTGACGGCAGCCATTGTCCGTCGCGCTGACGTGTGTTCAGAGAAACCAGCGCCTTAGACAAAACTTAAGATTATCAGCAAAACAGAGTTACAACCAATGAACATCAGAGCGTATGGAATAGAGTTAGAAAGAATCCACAATATCACATATTTTGGAGCCAATGTTAATGATAACTGGGATATAAGCAAAGAAATATGCCAGAGCTGCCTTCTATAAATTAAAGAAAATGCTGATTAATAGAGATATTACATTAAACCTTAAAATCAGATTAACATATGTGATTGTCAACGAAACAATGCCATATTGCTATATAAGTTGTGTTGATCACACCGAATGAAAAAAAGCACAGAAATAACAAAAACTCGAAAGTTACAATATTTCGGCCACCTAACGAGACATTCAGAGAGGTATAATACAGGGCAAGATCGCCGGAAGAAGAGGCCCAGGCCGAAGAAGAACATCCTGGCTTCGAAATTTCCGATAGTAGTATCAAGATACATCCGCTAATCTGTTTCAAGTTGCCGTAAACAAAGTTATTATTGTCAATATGATCTCCAACGTTCGATAATCGGACGGGATACTAAAAGAAGAAGATGGTGAGAATGTCATGAACGAATCTTCAGTAAGGAAATGGTGCATTATCTTCAACCAGGACAGAATCAGTGTGCACGATGAAGAACAGACTGGGAGCCATCTCTTGTGGCGAAGGAGTTATAGGAAAAATTCCACGAGGAAACTAAGTTCCTGTAGCTGGCTGTATACCATATATCACAAAAAAATTTTGTTTAAAATCCTTTATAAAAGGTATATAAAAATGCCCCAAACGGGCTATCACAAACACATTGCAAAACGTTTTCGGATTAAACAATCCATCATCAGTGCAAACGGTTGTACATGCTAGTAGCCACCAAAATATATGGGTAAAAACCCTTTAAATGTTTTGAATTTAAAGTTGTTTTACATTATTAGTATTTATAATTTGTGATGGTTAAGTTACCGTTGGATAGGTAACATGGCGGCGTATGACTCTACATGAGTAAAATGGTCCTGAGACGAAGTGTCTACGAGGACCTGTTGATAACAACTGATTGTTATCAACAGGTCCTGAGAGTTGTTATCAACAGGTCCTCGTAGACACTTCTTCTCAGGACCATTTTACTCATGTAGAGTCATACGCCGCCATGTTACCTATCCAACGGTAAATTAACCATCACAAATTATAAATACTAATAATGTAAAACAACTTCAAATTCAAAACATTTAAAGGGTTTTTACCCATATATTTTGGTGGCTACTAGCATGTACAACCGTTTGCACTGATGATGGATTTTATAAAGGATTTTAAACAAAATTTTTTTTTTAGGAAAAAGTTCAGAAAATTCGGCGATTCACATTGCATGACTTTTTTCCACAAATTTCTTGATTCCTCTTACATTTAACACGTTGCCTGTCGTAGAGGATTTTGTAATACTATCCGTTCACGCCATCGTGACCGAACCGGCACCACAGTTACATTAAAATTCTCGGTCAATAAACCTCGCCGACGTGCAGGGCAATTTTTTTCTCGGTCACATAGACCGAGACGACAGGCAATGTGTTAATAGTGACTAAGTACCTTGAATATAAAAAAATTTGCACTGATGGGTACCAAAGGTTCTGACAGAAACCCATATGACAAATCGAATGGGGCAACTATTTTCATCAAAATAGTATTATCTAATTCCAATATTTAACATTATTTATTTTTAGGACACAGTATATGCAGTCAATGCGTTGAGTTAGTTCGTATTTGTCCTAATTGTCGTAGTTCCTTGACAAAGAAAACTCGAAATTTCACTCTAGAGAACGTAACGACCAGAGTACAGTACCCTTGTAAAAATCAGGAAATTGGTTGTGGATATTTAACGACTTCTGACAAGATCCGCATGCACGAAAAAAACTGTGATCTGGAAGACAGTCCATGTGTTTTCAACTGTGGCTTGAAGTTTAAAAAGCCAGCTCTTTTTAATCATGTTAATGAAGAACATTCTGACCGTGTCTTGGCATTCAATGAAATTCATACATTGGATATACAAAGTGGTACAAAAGAATTTGTATACATTTTGTTTGCTTCTGGTCAGATGTTTAAATTGACTCTAAAAGGTATGTATATATTATTGTTACTGTTAATAACATACTTTAATAATGCTGTTAATAATAATTTTTATCTTAACACGTTTGCGGACAAGACGGCATATCCCGTCACGCACACAGGGACGAGACGCGATATGCCGTCCAAACAAACAGCTCGGTGTAATACTAAAAGGGGCATTTTTCGTCTTGCGTATTTTGGTTTCTCCGTACGAACACGATTGATGACCCAGCATACATAAAAATATTTCTTTCGTTTCGCAAACGTTTCGCCATGCAGTTGACCTCGCTTGTGTTTTGGTGAATGCACGTGAATAATATCTTCCTATATTTTTATGCTGTAAAAGTTATACACTCTGTTAAAATTAATGCAAAGCAGTTTTATGTGTTTGGTAAGTGTCAATAAGTCCTTAATTTTATATATTTGGATTTTATAATGCAAAAACTGAACAAAAAAGTAAAAAAATACTTATGGTTATGGAGGTTATGTCAATAAATATCCAGTTATTCGTTTATTTGTACCTAATCTGTATTATGTACACTGTAAATAATTTCTAATTAGTTTTTTGGTGTGAACTAGTAGTAGATAGATAGAAAGATATGTTTATTGACAATTTTTTACATAGCAAACACTACGTGTAATGTCACAATATAAATAAGTCACTTATAACTAAAAAACACAAGAACACATAATATAACATACAATGAAAAATAGAAATATCAAACAAATATAGTAATATATTACATAAAACTCTAAAATCATAAAGTTATTATTTTTTTAAGAATTCTAATTTTTGTAAATACTGCATGTTTAAAAACAGGACGTGTGACATTGTTATTGACCATTGTTATTTGCAACCAACACAGGATATGTGGTGTGATACCACAACAGATATTCCTGATTTTCAGTTTGATAATGCTGGTCGTGGTATCCAATATGTGTTTGAAACTACACCGACTACAGCCGAATGTTTTGAAAAGTTTTGGGATGATGACGTTATGAACACGATTGTTACTTCTATGAATGCCTATGCTGACATTTTGAAGACTACCAAAAGACCACACAGACGAAAATATAGATATACAACTATTAAACCAGTAACTAAACCTAAACTCAAGGCCTATGATGACATTTTGAAGACTACCAAAAGACCACACAGACGAAAATATAGATATAAAACTATTAAACCAGTAACTAAACTTAAACTCAAGGTAATCCTAGCTCTGTGTATATTACCGAGTGACTCAAATGTCCTTCAATAAGGAAAAGGTTCTCGATGAATCCATTATATTACAGCTCAGTTTTTCATCGTCATTTTCCTGGAAGACGTTTTGAAGAACTTCTAAGGTGTTTTAGTTGCTCTTACGGACAGATTGACGAAAATCTTGATGACAAACTACGAGAGGTTACACCACTTTTGACTAAATTATTATCAAATTTTAGAAGTGCCTTGGTTCCTCCAGAAAATTTGTCCGTAGTCGAGTCACTAATGCTATTTCGCGGTCGGTTGAGCTTTGACTATTAACCAATATAATTTGAAAATATATTTCGGAAAAACAACCGAAGCGACTGCTGTACCAAAACTTGAGCAACTAGTTCTCTCTCTGGTGGAGTCATACCTAGATCGTGGACATCACGGACATCAAGTTAAAAAAAGGTGAACACCGTTGGAGCTGATGTGATAAGTATACGTTTCAAAATGAAGGGATAAACGGGATATTATTTGCATTACCACGAAATATCATCCCAAATTCATTACCGCTAAAAACAGGTATGACGTTGAAAAGGTAAAACCTGAAGAAGTAGCCAATTACAACAAGTTTATGTCTGACAGTGACCAGATGATTAGTTATTATTTATCTCCGAGAAAAAGTATTAGATGGTATAAAAAAGAAATGTTCCATCTACTAGACATTTCTCTTTGGAATGTATTTTACATAAAAAGAACATTAGACACACAGTTATCGTTCCTTCAGTTTCGCGAAGAAATTCTAAGAGAATATTTAGGAATTGATAAAGTTGAGCAATATGGAAGAAACTTGGTGAAGACGGGACCATTACATGGTGGAAAAGGCCACGACTGGATCAACAAATAGCAAACAGGAACACTGATTCTGGCATGCACTTTCTCGATAAAGTACCAAACAAAAAAAAAACCAAATAAATCCTACCATTTGATGTGCAAACATTGTGCATCAAGATCTATACGAAAGGAGACCAAGTACCTTTGTAAGACGTGCCCCAGCAGGCCAGCTCTTGGTCTCGAACCTTGCTTCGAAGATTACCATAGACAATAAAATTGTTGTTTTTAATCAATTCGTCCCCTCCCATTTTTCGTGTGACGGGAAATGCCGTTTTGTATCCAGCTCACGAAAATAGAGTTTACTAGGGACAAGATTTAGCGGTAGCGACAAGCGGTATTTGCCGCTTCCCATTTTTTTTGTCAAAAACATATGTTTTTTTCATAATAAATCATGCTAACCTATTTTTGATGTTCTTAACAGATGTGCGTTTCTACGAACCCTTTCTTAATATTGTTCTGAAGCTATTTTCTTGTGGCATTGTAAATTAATTACTATTTAACTGGGAATAAGCCACAATTAAAGATAAAAATACGTTTATTGACGTTTCAATTTCCACTTCGGAAATCGTTCTCAAAATACAAACAGTAAATTAAACAAATTTTGTTTTTTGTTAGATAGTGAAAAATTTTTCTAATAATTTAATTTTATCTGACTCATTTATATTGACAATTCAGACATACATTATGCATTTTAAAGTAGACGACTTTAAAATGATATTGCCAATATTGTTGAGTTGCGCTCCTGGGACGACTTTACTTAGAAGATAGTTCATTCGATTACATGAAATCAACTTTAACTTGAGAATATTTGTCAGAAAAAATCATAGCATGTAATTCGTTTTTAAAAAGACAAACACATGAGATGATGACAGTAAAATTCTCCTGTTAGTGATTCCATAGTAAATTATGAGGGAAAAAACAGGAAAAAAACTTCATAATACTATCCCGACATTATAAGTATTTGTTCGTGAATTTAGTTTACCTTCAACAAACATCAAAATTCTGATTTTATATGTTACGTTATTTAAAAATCATAAATGATGTATCCTCTATATGTTACTGACTTACTAATACTGGAATTTTCTTATTAATAACTTCCTCTTTCAATATTGGTAACGAGATCCTACTATATTCGGCCGAGGAATTTGCGACACAATTGGCCTCATTTAGCATAATTAGAGCCGCTTCTTTGATTTTTTTTTACCATCCGTTTCTTTTAGGACTACATTTGAATTATTCCATTGAACCCTATGTTCATTATCCCATGCGTGTTTACATATTGAACCTGAATATCTGGTTACCAATATTGAAAGAGGAAGTTATTAATAAGAAAATACCAGTATTAGTAAGTCAGTAACATATAGAGGATACATCATTTATGTTTTTTAAATAACGTAACATATAAAATCAGAATTTTGATGTTTGTTGAAGGTAAACTAAATTCACGAACAAATACTTACAATGTCGGGATAGTATTATGAGGTTTTTTTCCTGGTTTTTCCCCCATAATTTACTATGGAATCACTAACAGGAGAATTTTACTGTCATCATCTCATTGTTTATCTTTTTAAAGACGAATTACATGCTATGATTTTTTCTGACGGATATTCTCAAGTTAAAGTTGATTTCATGTAATCGAATGAACTATCTTATAAGTAAAGTCGTCCCAGGAGCGCAATTCAACAATATTGGCAATATCATTTTAAAGTCATCTACTTTAAAATGCATAATGTATGTCTGAATTGTCAATATAAATGAGTCAGATTAAATTAAATTATTAGAAGAATTTTTCACTATGTAACAAAAAACAAAATTTGTTTAATTTACTGTTTGTATTTTGATAACGATTTCCGAAGTGGAAATTGAAACGTCAATAAAGGTATTTTTATCTTTAATTGTGGCTTATTCCCAGTTAAATAGTAATTAATTTATGAACCCTTTGTTATGCCATCGTGTCCGCGAAATTGTTAACATGATTTTGCAAGTTTTACTACCATTCTATATTATTGATATATTGCCAAAGAAATTAATAAATAAAAAAATAGGTTAAATGCAACAAAAAAATTTTAATGAATAGTTAAGATAATTCCTTATAACATATCTGAAATGATTACATGAGTTGAGGTTAGCTAAGTAGTTCACTAATTATAACATTTTAGTCGTAATCTTGTGTAGAAACTCCTAAGAATTGTGGCAAATCTTTTTATACAGACATGACTGTCTGTTTTTCAATGTGCCTCCAGTAAGTTATGGTTCCATGTGGTCTTCCTATTGGGGAACCGCCTCTTGCCGTCTTCACTAGTCTATTTGTTGTCATTCGGTTTATATGATCGTTCCATTCCACTTTTCTATTTCTTACCCAGTTCTTGATGTTCTCCACCTTGCATCTACGTCGTATATCTGTACTTCTAGCTCTGTCTCATAGTGTCTTACCATCAATTTTTCTTAGTGTTTTCATCTCTGCTGTTTCTAACATCCTTTTTGTCCTCTCTGTATCAGGTCTTGTTTCTGCTGTCTGATGACTGTTTTGTAAATTCTGCCTTTCGTTTCTTTCTCGATATTTTTATTTCTCCGTATTGTTTTATTTAGGCAGCCTGCGTCTCTGTTTGCTCTATTTACTTGATCTTCCACTTCGATTCGAGCTTTCCATAGCTAGATAATGTGATGCCTAGATATTTAAACTCCATCACTTGTTCTATTATCTGACCTTCCAGCCCCAATTTACATATTTGTAAATTTGCTGTTGTAACCATGCATTTTGTCTTTTTTGGGGAAATTAACATGTTCAATTTTTGGCGGTTATATTAAATTGGTGCAGCATACGTTGTAAATCATCTTCACTTTGAGAGAGTAGTATTGCGTCGTCTGCATAGCAGAATATTTTAAGTTGTTTTTTTCCCCATTTGGTATCCGTTTTTAGTTCTTACTTTTTTTATTATTTCATCCATAATCAGGTTGAACAATAGATGACTCAATTAATCTCCCTGTCTTACCCCATTGCCAGCTTCAATAAAATCGGTTAGTTTCTTCTGCTTTTTCTTTTATTGTGTTGTTTTTTCGATCGTTTTGATTATTCTTGCGTACAGTAAATGGATAACGTATTGTAATTTGACCTTGTCAAATGTCTTTGTAAGTTCCACGAAATATAGATATGCCGGTTTGTTGTATTCTAATGATTTCTCTTGCACTTGCTTTATTACAAATATAGCGTCGGTGCATGATCTTCCCGATCTAAAACCTTGTTGTTCTTCTGCTAGAACGTTATTGATCCACTAAAAAAATTTATCTGTCAATGTCATATTGTAGACAATAATAATCTAATCTAAACTCTGACTAGCTTTGTAACGATTTAATTTGCCTATATAGAATCGAAACATTGGGTATTACTTATGGGGTGTTGACAGTGGGCACTGAGCAATTCTTGGATTGTAGATGGGGTAAGCAAAAAAACCGAAACGTTTGCGAACGGCCATTCTTGTTTTGGTTGGAGAGCTGGGTCGTGAGTACGTGAATAAAGGAGGGATTGGAAGGAGTAACTGCAAAGAAACAAATCAAAAAAATACTTACATAGATTTCCTGGGCAACAAAATCAAGAAGGTTCCTGAACTATTTGAATTAGACGCCGTTTAAAAGAATCCTCTTCTCTGAATTCGATTCAGAGAGAAACATTACATATTTATTATTACTTCACTTCAACAGTTATTACAAATAATATTAACAAAATTGATCAATAAACCTTGCAGGTTGGACGAAAGTTGTAACAATTTTACAACTAGTTGTAACTATTTAAATAATTATTAGAAATGAAAATTATCAAAATTTTTTCAACGAAGCTTACATTGAGGTTAAGCTTTACACAAAACAGAATTCAAAATTATGGTTATGTACCAAATTTCAAAAAAAAGGATAATACCGACTGTTATATATATATATATATATATATATATATTATATATATATATATATATATATATCATATATATATATATATGTCGAAATGAAATATAAACTTTTTTCAAATATTAATTAAGTATTAAAATTAATTGTATTTAAAAGAAGACTAATATGAAATTAGCTAATTCATAAAACTTATAATTTTATTTATTTATAATTTTTTAGTTTGTCATGAAAGCAAATCTTTTTCCCACTCAACTCCTTAAAACCATGTGGACCTCTCAAATAGTTGGAAACGCCGTCTTACAAATCCCTCAAATAGGGCACAGCACAACCAATCGGTGATTTACTGAACAAAAACTGCCAAATAGCATCTTGAGTCCAAATTCACCTCTCAACTTAAAAAAATTGCCGGCTTTGAGTACTGCACGCCGAAAACTATGTCTTCCGAATCTAAATCTCCTGGAAAATTGTAGGAATTATTTAGTTAAAACGTAAATGTTATCTACGCAGTTAAAATTTCTTAAATGTCCCTAAAAACACTTGTGTAAACAAACTTCAAGGAGTTTTTATACTTACAAGCCAGGGGCGTATCAAATAAATTTTTATACATTAAATATTCGATAGTTATTAGGAATTTTTTATGCTACAGCTTTAGCATCAAAATACAATCAAATTAACAGAACATTATTTCAATAAAAATTATTTTATAGGGAAAGAGTGTCATGACAATTTTAATTAAAAATTGGGTCGTAAATACTAGCAGGTTTGGAAACGGCGCATTATATCATTGGATGGCTGAGTTGATGAAGCGTACTGCGCTATTGGCTCGCATAAAAAGGAATTCTTTTAAATGTCGTTCTAGCTGTCATCCATACATGGTGAAAAACCTTTGCAGTACTCCAATTTACTATGTTACATTTGATAATGTCCTACACTAGCAGACGAAACGTCAGGAAAAAATAATTACAGACCACAAATCTTTATTACAAAAAAACACCGACCGTAAAAACCCTCCTTGATAAAAATAAGATAATATCCAAACTAGCACGAAAATATTTACAGATTGGATACTGTTTAATCCTGTTTTAAAAGTAGTGTGTCAATAAAAGTTAAAAAGCTAAAATTCTAAACGTTTGATAAATAAACATGAGATGGTCGAATTGGTTATATCATAAATTTTGTTACACTGTTATTTTGATAGTATGTACATTACAAATATAAAACTTCTTGGTTTTTAGATCAAATATCGTGATTAATTTGTTTTATTTTAGTTACAGGTAGTTCACATACTGTCACATCAATCAATATGCAGCAGTTAAATCAAAACGATGAAAACTTGATATACCGCTATAAATTTGAATTTGTTGACACCTCGGACAGTCGTTTTATTACAAGTTTCAAGGGTACAGTACAACCAGGAGGTACCAAACCAAGCAAGTCGACAGAAGTTGTTGTTCCACACAATATAATAACTAATGCTATTGACGATCATTTTTTATTTTATAGGATTAGTTTATTCATCATTAATTTGTAAAAGTAATAAACTTCTTTAATTGTTTGGTAGCAGGATTATATACGGTAGTATAAGTCTAATGTTTCGAGTAACAGCAAATATAATGGTGAAAATCATATTGGCAGCTAACATTTGAAAAAAAGGTCCATAAAAAATAATGTAGGTCAGGGGTTCCCAACTAAATTTTTCCAAGGACTCCTTTATCAAGGTACTACAATATCGAGGACCCCCACTATTTCCTAAAGACCTAAAGTTACCTGAAAAGATCCAAAATATGTAAAAACAAATCAAACTAATGCTATATAGGATTTATTTGTGAAAATACAGAGTACTTACACAAGTACATTATTAGTTTTAATTTTCACTCCTCAATTAATGAAATACGTTGAATTTAACCTTAGAATCCATTATTTCTGTAATGTTAGGTTCCAAACTTAAAACTCTCACTCTGAAATCTGACCGCATGTCAAGCCGATTCCTATATTTGTTTTTCATGAAGCACATGGAAGAAAATGCTTGCTCACACCGATAGGTTGTTGCAAACGGAAGGATTTTTTTCATGGTCTTGTCTCCAAGTTCTTTGTAATCCTTGCATGCTGTTGTCCTTCATCGTACCACAACTCGACAAATCCACAAGCTTATCTTGTTCTTCTTCTGTGAGGACTTGGATTAGTTCAATTACTTGACAGCTGAAAGGATTTCGAATCCAAACATCGTCAGGGTCAGATTCAAGGAAGTATATCCTAAAAGTCGTGGCTAGGCTGCGTAGGTACTCGGCTGCGTTGATCATTATCGGGTCAGGTAAACTCTGTTCTGCAGACTCCAAGAACTGTTTCAAATTAGGAAAGTTAGTGAACGACTCGTTTTTAATCCTCACCGTCCACAGCTGGCACTTTTTTACCATAGCACTGATCTTATCGTCAACTTTGAACATTTCTACATTTTCCCCTTGCAAACTTAAGTTTAATACATTCAAGTGTTCAAACACGTCAACTAAGTAGGCAGTTGAGCAAAGCCAAGAAAAGTCAGTGAGATCATCCGCGTACTTGGTGTCAAGAAGAAAAACACTAACTTCATCTCTAAGTTCAAAAAATCTTGTCAATTTTCTCCCTCCAGAGAGCCACCTTACTTCCGTATGAATAAGAAGGTGTTCATACTCACTGTCAATCTCTTTGTACAACAAAGAAAATAATTTGGATGTGTTTTAATGTAGGTTACTATTGAACTACTTCGTTAAATATCTTTTGCAAAGGTTCAGGCAATGTTTTGGCTACCAAGGCTTCACGATGAATACAACAGTGGGTCCATTTCACCTCTTTGACACGCGCTTGAAGTCCTGATTTGTGGCCAGCCATTGATTTTGCTCCATCCGTAGACAAACCCACACATTTTGTCCATGTGACGTCATGTGTATTGAAAAAATCATTCAATGCAGTAAAAATATCTGCTACTGTTGTGTAAAGTAGTTCGAATGAAAAAATAAAATCTTCCAATATCGGGTCCTCCCATAAAAATCGAACAAAACACAACATTATTGCGTTTTTAATATGTCTGTGCTTTCGTCCAATTGAAGAGGAAACATGTCGCTCATGCTAAGTCTGACCAGCAATATATCTTCAATGTTATTGGTCATATCTGAAATTCGTCTTTGGATAGTGTTGTTAGAGAGCGGAACAGTACTTATTATCTTAACAGCCGCTTCACCCAACATTCTTTTGCATAGAATTATTGCTGATGGTAGTATAAGTTCTTCAGCACTTGTATGGTTTTTTCCACATTTAGCGAGATACCTCATAAGATGCAAGTGTTGCATTTTCATGTATATTTGCACCATAGTGTTTAGTAATGTTTTTACGAGATCTTTTAAGCTCTCCTAGTTTGTTTTAAAAAAAAATCGAATGACTTACTTTTGTACTCTGGATGTTTTGTCTCAAGATGCCGACAGAGTTTTGCTGGCTTCATACACTCATTCGAAGAGCTTTCGTAGCAAATTACACATTGAGGTTTAGTTGTATTTTTTAATTTTTGCAGCACTGATCTTGTTCGAATTAGGTTTAAGAGACGCCGACGAGTTGGGTTCAAGAGACACTGACAAGTTCGGTTCGAGAGTCATTGACTTTTTAACTTTAACATTTAATGCATTTTCTCCATCTTCGTCTGTAGGTCTATCCCGTTTTAACGATCCACATTTTAACAAACGATCCATAACGTACGCGTAATGTAACTTTCCGTGAAAACAAAAAGCTTTAAAATGTTGCACAAAATCACACGTTTCAACACGGTCAGGAACCGCACTAGCAATGAACTAAACTAACTTACTAACAATAGCCGACTGACATCTCTGAAATGTGAATTGGCTGTGTAACTGTAGTGCAAACAGACAGCTGACAGCGACGCATTTTAACGGCATAAAGCCAAAGTAGGGTCCCATCTAGTTCTAGTGATAGTGGCGGTGAAGAGGGGAGGCCGAATCTGACTTACCCGAAAATATTTTTTTAGGTATATAAACAAAATTATAGTTAACAATCTAAAATTTGATATAACTTTAAGTTTGCGCGAAATATGTTATTAATTTTAAAGATTTAGAGAGAAAACTTTGTTTTCGCTCTCCTAAAAAAATTTGCAAAATGGACATATCGTTTTTCTCCCTGGCTCTTCATATAATTTTTATATCTTGCGGACCCTTCAGCCATACCTCGCGGACCACCATTTGGGAACGACTGATGTAGATTAACTACTATATTTATTGGGTATGAAACACATTTTGACAATCACACACATCAAAATACAAATTAAACAAATTATTTTATTTTATTACTTGGAAAAAAATCTTTTTTTTTTTTTATTTACTAATAATAGTCGCTTCAACCACCTGGGTCATTAGCGACATTAGTTTACATTAGTTACTACATTATATTAAATTATATAAAGATGTTTCTTTTAGAAATCTAATTAAGTTTTTAGTATTTAAATGTTCACCTAATACTGTTTTTGAGTCACTGGAAATATTGTTATTTTGTCTGTTAACTGTATATTTTCCACATTCTGTTAGGAGATGTTTAACAGTAATATTGACTTGACAGTAATCACACACTGGAATGTCTTCTTTACTTATTAGGTGCTTATGAGTAATATTGGTATGACCTAATCGAAGTCGAGAAATTTTGACTTGGTCAGCTCTTTTTAAGTTTACTAGGCGCCACGGTTTCACTGTCGATTTAATTTCTTTTAATTTAGATTCCGATAAGTTCCACTTATTTTGCCACGCACTAATCACTTTTTCTTTAACGAACTGTTTTATATCACTGCAGATAGTCTTTGACACTATTATAGCTTGATCATTTTTGGTAGCTTCTCTTGCTTGGAGGTCTGCGTTTTCATTACCTTGTATTCCCGTGTGAGATGGAACCCACATAAATTTGACTTCTGAACCAGATTCTTGTAAGGCAGCAAGTTCTTTCTTGACAAGTAAGGCTATAGGGTTCTTAGTATATAGTTGACCGATTGTTGTTAAGGAGTTTAGAGAATCTGTGATAATGACGGAAGAAGAATGGTTTGTACTTTTGATATGAATGAGGGCTTGTAATATTGCATATAATTCTGCTGTGTATATAGAAGTGGCTGGCATTAATTTAAATTGGGAAGAGGAATATGGAGTGACAAATGCTGCTCCTACGTCATTTGCAGATTTGGAGGCATCTGTATAAATGCAAAAGCTTTTCCCGTAAGTCTCGAGTTCCTTTAAACATGACTGTCGGATTACAGTGGGTGATGTATCTGATTTGTTATATTGGAGTAGCGTCGTATTGATTTCGGGAATCATGATTAACCAGGGAGGTGGAGTTTTTAAATTTGAAGGAAAGAGGTCAGAAATTTGGAGTTGTAGATCTTTTAAATTTCTTCGAACTCTTTCGTAGAATGGTGGATCGAACCTACTTTTGTTATAAGCTTCTAGGTAACGGTCCGTAAATGCATTTTGAAATACTGGGTGGAATTTGTTGCTAGCGACTGACGCTGCATACGAAAGGCATAAATAATTTCTTCGTAGATTAAGAGGTGGCTCTCCTGTGACGCATTGGAGATTCTTAACTGGTGTGGTTCTAAATGCACCTATGGCAATGCGAAGTGCTGTGTTCTGAATGACTTCAAGTTGCTTGGTAACATGTCTTTTAGGGGAGGCATACACAATAGCCCCATAATCTATTTTTGATCTAACGAGTGACTTATAAATATTTAATAACGTGGTTTCGTCGGATCCCCATTTTTTATTTGATAATGTTTTCATTACATTTAATCCATTTTGGCAAGACTTTTTTATTTCTAAAATATGTTGTTTCCATGTTAGTTTTTGGTCAAATACCATTCCGAGAAAATTAATTTTTTCTGAGAATTTGAGCGGCTCGCCATACAGTTTTAAAGATGTTCTCTGTGGCCGGTGCCTTCTTGAGAAAAGCATGCATTTTGTTTTTAGTGGGGAGAATTGCACGCCTACTGACATTGACCATATCTCTAATTTATAAATAGATTCTTTTAAGTGTTTTTGAATCATTCTCATATTCTTGCCCTTTGCAAATAGAACCAGATCGTCGGCATATAGTCTTCCCTTAACTAGCGGGGAGCAGTGATCCAGTATATCGTTGATAGCCACGAGAAAAAGAGTTGGGCTCATAACTGACCCCTGAGGTGTTCCGTTTTTCTGAATTTTTTTTTTGATGAAGTGGAATTATCGACGCGAACAGAGAAAGCTCTTAACTGAAGAAAGTTTTCTATGAATCTTAGCATATTACCCCTGATTCCCCATTTGTGTAATTTTGATAAAAAAAAATCTTTCTAATAGTTTAATTTTATCTGTCTAAAGTTGAAATTATATTAAGTATTTTTGCGTTGCGTTATTTATATTTATTTACCAATCTACTACTTACTAATTTCGAATACACAACTAGAAATAATATTTCGTTCCATTATATTCTATGTTCATTGTTCAATGGCTTTTTATGGAAAGAAGATTTCTACCCACTAAAAACCACCACCCATCGAGAAGGGGATGATAAAAAACATGTGCAGTACTACATTTTATCGTGCCCTCTCCACTCTTTAATCCACTTTAATTTACTTATTCCCTTCTATTCTGACCATCTTCAACCATTCTTTCTCTTGTGAATCTTTCTCGTTAAGTCTTTGTCTTACTCGCTCATTGTCAGTTAACCAGCACCTCCGTTGTGACACTCTGAACTATACTCGCAGCTTTTGTTGTAAGTTGTGACCTTTCAGAAACCATTGACCGACTATACACATCTCACACTCCGGTATAGATTATATAATAGATACTAGACACCTCCTAG